GTAGCAGGATGGCCAGGAAGAGGAAGACCTCCCACTTGCCCAGGGCCTCCCCGATGCACCGGCGCTTGCCCAGGCCGAACAGCAGCATCTTCTCACTCAAGGGCTTGTTGATGGCGGTGCCTTTGGCGGTGAGGAACCGCTCGGGCCGGAACTCAGACGGGTCCCCCCACAGCTGCCTGCAAGGGGAACAGAGGAGACGGGACCTCAGGGGTGCGGAGGCCCTGGGAGGAGGGGCCTGGGGAGGGAGACGTCTGTGGAGGACACAAATGTGAGGACAGATTGAAAGCGACGCAGGGTAAGTGGGAAGGAGCCAAACTGAACTTTGATGCTTCTTTCTTTTCTTGTCTTTCTTTTTGAGACAACCTCTGGCTCCTGTGGCCCAGGCTGGAGTACAGTGGGTGATCTCGGCTCACTGCAGTCTCTGCCTCCCCGCTCAAGCCATCCTCCCACCTGAGCCTCTCGTGTAGCTGGGACTACAGGCACCACATGCAGCTAATTTTTGTACTTTTTTTTTTTGCAGAGACAGGGTTTTACTATGTCGCCCAGGCTGGTCTCAGACTTGTGAGCTCAAGCAATCCACCTTCCTCAGCCTCCCAAAATGCTGGGAGGCTGAGCCCAGCCTCATGTCACAGGCATGAGCCACCGCACCTGGCCTGATTGTTATTTCTTTGACAAAGCTCTCTCTAAAATGACCAAGCTTAAAGATAGTGCCTTTTAATATTAATTTATTTTAAATAATGCTTTATCTAAAAGAAATTAAAAGAAAAACAGGCTGGGTTTGGTGGCTCACCCTTGTAATCCTAGCACTTTGGGAGGCTGAGGCAGGAAGATCCCTTGAGCCCTTGAGTTCAAAACCAGCGTGCGGAACATAGGGAGACATTGTCTCTATTTAAAAATTAAAATTAGCTGGGCTGGTTGGCTCATACCTGTCATCCCAGTTCCTTCTGGATCTTCCTCTGTATTTCAGGCTTGGTCACAAGGTACATGAGGCTCCAGGAGATGGCTGTTGTGATTGTATCAAACCCTGGACCTTTCGTGTGAGGCAAGGAAGGAAGAAAGACAGAAACCAGGAAACCATCATTTCCCAAGTACCTACTATGTGAGTACCCAGCATTAGCTTTCTCTGGCCCTGGCCTGTGGGTTTCCTGAGGACAGAGGCTGAGTCTCTTCAACATAAACTTGAGATACAGGTTTCAGAATTAGCTGCCGGAATTCCAGGGGCTTAGACTTACARGCCAGATAACGCTTTATTGTTCAGATGGGGAAACTGAAGCCTAGGGGAGGAGAAGGACTTTGCTGCGTTTCCACCGAGAACCGCTGACATAGCCCAGGCTCAAACCCTGATCCCAGGCCAGGTCTCAGTACGTTGCACCATCTGGTGTAGGGTTGGTGGGTTGTTTGATAGACTGAGGGGCGGGGAAAGGCTGTGGGTCGACAGCAGGGAGTTTGGATGGAGGGGCAGGGTTCTGGCTCCTACCTGCTCCAAAGATGTCATTGACAAGGTTGACAATCTTCTGCTGGGGGATGAGGTCGCTGCTGGCTCCAGACCTCTTCTCGCTGTGCTTGAACAGGGCACCTGTGATGTCCTGGACACTGTTCTGAGGGGCACAAGCTTAGGGACACCCCTGACACTTCCAGGGTCAAAGGCTGAACCTTACTCCACTTCCCTGGCCTGTCCCTGGGGGCTGGGCACCCCCATCCCCCGGCTTGGTCTCTAGGTAGTGGGCTGCAGCTCGAACCAGGAGCCGGTAGCAGCCCTGGGTATGGCTTAAAGTGTCATTTCACGCCCCACTGACCCTTCTTCCCAACAACCCCAGGGGTCCGATTTCAAAGGAGAAAAAGATTAGTGTGAACACAGGGAAGTGACCCCAGAGCTGTTGGGGTTCAGGTTTCTGCAGAATGAAAGCTTTCTCCCTCATAGGCCCCCCACATTGCAGGGCTCTGCTAGGGCCTTGTTTCCAGGACGTTTTTCTTTTCTTTTCTTTCTTTTTTTTTTTTTTAGATGGAGTTTCACTCTTTCGCCCATCCTGGAGTGCAGTGGTGTGATCTCAGCTCACTGCAACTTCAGCCTTCCAGTTTCAAGTGATTCTCCTGCCTCAGCATCCTGAGTAGCTGGGATTACAGGCGCACACCACCACACCTGGCTAATTTTTGTAGTTTTGGTAGAGACTGGGTTTCACCATGTTGGCCAGGCTGGTCTTGAACTCCTGACCTCATGATCCACCCACCTCAGCGGGATTACAGGCGTGAGCCACCATGACTGGCCTACGAGGACTTTTTTCTGGGGGGGCTTTGAGGAGCCCTGAGAAGGGAACTTCAAGAATGAGGAAACCGAGGCCCAGAGAAAGGGAAGGATCAGCTCCAGGTCACACAGCTGGTCTGAGGTGTCCAGAGCCTTCCTAGGCCTTGGCAACACAGCAGCTGTGTGAACACGCTAGAGCTGGGAGGAGGGCCGCACCCAGGCCCTGCAAGGTGCCCCTCGCCACCTGCACCCTGGGCTCACCTTGTCAAAGTCCCGATAGTGTTCCT